TATTTCTCTTTTTGTTGATATGTTGGGTTACATTAATTGATTTTCAGATGTTGAACTATCCTAGTGCCCTTGGAATAAATCACACTTAATCGTGGTATATTTTCCTTTAGATGCATTGTTGGAATCTGTTGGCTAGGATTTTATTGAGGATTTTTGCATCAGTTTTCATTAGGGAGATTGGCCTGTAGTTTTCTTTTCTTGTGTTGTCTTTGTTTGCTTTTGGTATTAGTGTAATGTTAGCTTCATAGTACATATTTGGTAGCATTCTTTCTCAAATTTTTAAAGTTTGTGTAGGATAGGTGCTAATTCATTTCTGAATGTTTGGTAGAATTTATTTGTGTAGCCATCTGGTCCTGGGCTTTTGTTTCTGGGGAGAGTTTTGATTACTGTTTCAATTTCATTGTTTGGTAATTGGTCTGTTCAGGTGTTTTATTTTTTCTTTAGCTTTGGATTATTATGTCATTCTAGGAATTTGTCCATCTATTCTAGATTGTTCAATTTGTTTGCATATAACTGTTCATAGTAATCTTTGATCATTCTTTTGATTTCTGCTGTGTTTATGATTTCCTCTTTTGTTTATGATCATATTTATTTATTTATGTTTTCTCCAGTATTTTCTTTGTGATCTTGGTAGTGGTTTGTCTACTTTGTTTATTTTTTAAAGTATCAACTTTTGGTTTTGTTGCTATTTTGGATTTTTAAAAATTACTATTTCATTTATTTCTGCTTTGATTTTTATACTTTCCTTTCTTCTACTGGTTTTGTTTTTGTTGTTGTTGTTGTTGTTGTTGTTGTTATTTTTCTTTTTCTGGTTCTTTGAGTTGAGAGTAGGTTTTTCTTTGAGTTCTTTCTTGTTTCTTGATGTGAGCCTGCATTGCTATATACTTTCCTGTTATTACTGTTTTGCTGTGTCCCGTACATTCTGGAAAGTGGCTTCCTCAAAGCATTTTTTTAATTTCTTCTTTGGTCTTCTCTTTAATACAATGGTCTTCCAGTAGTGTTGATTTCAATCTCCATGAAGTGGGAGGGTTCCTTGCTTTCTTTCCATGATTTATTTCTGGTTTGATGCCTTTATGATCAGAAAAGATAGTTGGAATGATTATGATCTTAATGTATCTGTTGATGTTTGTCTTGGGGCTCAATATGTGATTTATTCTGGAGAATGATTCATGCACTCTTGAGAAAAATGTGTACTCAGATTTTTTGGGGTACAGTGTCCTATACAGTGTCTGCTAAGCCCATGAGGTCTAGGTCTTTATTTAGGCCTCTAGTGTCTTTGTTTATTTTTTGTCTCATTGATCTGTCCATTGGTGAAAGTGGGATGTTGTAGTCTCCTACTATAAATTTATTTTCTCTATTTTCTGTTTTCAGAGCTGATTATAATTGTCTTACATATTTTGCTGGTCCTTCATCTGGTGAGTATATGTTAATGATTGTTATATCTTCCTGATATATTGTCCCCTTAATCATAATGTAGTGTCCATCTATGTCTCTTTTCACCTTTTTTAGTTCAAAGTTTATTTCATTGGATATAAATATAGCTGTTCCTGCCTTCTTTTTTGGTCCATTTGCCTATAGGATACTTTTCTATCCTTTTACTTTCAGTCTACATTTATCTTTTGTAGTTAAATGTGTTTCCTGGAGAAGGCAGAAGGTTAGAATTTGTTTTTTTAATCCAGGTTGCTACTCTGTGTCTTTTTATTGATGAGTTTAGTTCATTTACATTTAGAGTTAATATTGATATGTTGGCATGTGTATTTGCCATTTTGTATGTCTTTTTGTGATTTATTTCCTTGCCTTATACTGTTATTCAATCCTCTGTTGGTTTTGACTTTGGGACTTCTTATAGCATTTTTTGGAGTGGAGGTTTAGCCTTAATGAATTTCTGTATAGATTCTGTTTGTCTGAGAAGGTCCTTATTTTTTCTTCATAGAGGGTAAAGTATTCTTGGTTGTTATTTGTTGTCTTGGAGTTTGTTGAATATGTCACTCCATTCTCTTCTTGCCCATAGTGTTTCTTCGGAGAAGTCTGATGTCAGCCTGATTGGTTTTCCTTTATAAGTTATCTGTTTCTTCCCCCTTGTCAGCTTCATTATTTTTTCCTTGTCTTGGACTCCTTCAAACTTTACTATTATGTGTCTTGCTAGTTTTTCTTTCATTGTGGTAATTTGATGTTCTTCGCACTTCTTGTGCATCTATTTTCATCTCCTTCTTCATGCTTGGGAAGTTCTCTTTGATTATCTCCTTGAATAGTTTCTCAGTCTCTCTCCTCATTTTCTGGAATTCCTATAGCTCTTACATTTCCTTTCTTCATGGTGTCAGATAGTTCTTGAAGTCTTTCTTCATTCTTTTTCCTTCGTGCTTCTCTTTCCTTTTCTTTTTTGGTTCTTTTTATTGCTGTATCTTTGAGAGTACTGATTTGTTCTTCCATTTTATCAGTTCTGTTTTTGTTGCTTTTCCCTTAGTTCTTTAGCTCCTCTGTCAATCTTTTAACCTCCTGCGTTTCTTTCATTTCCTTTGTTAGGGACTCAATTTCATTCTTTAGTTCATTAATTATTTTTCTCATATCATCTTTTCCTTTTGTCTTTGTTTTTTCATCACGGTGATTTTAAATTCTCTATCTGGAAAGCAGAGAAGTTCTTTCATGTCATTGTTGTTGAGTTCTGGTGGCTGATTTTCTTTTTGTGTAGTGTCCTGTGGGCTTTTTGATTAGTTGTATTTTTCCTTCCCCCTGTTGTTTGTTTCCTAATTTGTTCTGTGCATTGGGACACTGTGCTGTTGGTACTGGCAGGCATCTCTTTGGGGTGCTTCTTCTGGTTTGTCAGGAACTGGTGTCCAGACCAACTCAGCACTGATATGCCAAAACTCCACAAGTGCAGTGATGCTATGGATGTTTGTGATCACTGTCCCTGAAGATCCCCTCCCTCTGTATTTACTCAGTTCCAGAAGGGGATCATGGGTCCCTGGCATTGTTTATGGAGCTTTCCCTCTCTCAATTCCCAAAGGGGATCATGAGGTCCTTGACTTCCAACAATGGCTCAGCAACTGCACTCTCCCAGTTCCTGCCGTTCACTTTGATGGCGGATCCTGCCCCAGCTCTCAGTTCCAAAACATGAGCAGGTGCAGGGCCTGCAGCAGCCTTGCTACGTGCATGCTTCCTTGCTCACCTTTGTTTGTGGAGCCCATTCTCTCTCAGTTCCATAGGGAGATCATGATGTCCTGGTTTTCCAACAATTGTGCAGGGCCTGCGTTCTCTCCTGGTGCCTGTAGTTCACTTTGATGGCAGATCTCCCTCCATCTTTAAGGCCAGGAATATGGAAATTTCTCTCCTGATTCTTGTGCACTTACATATTTTTTCTCTGAATCTGGTACTCTTACCTCCCTCCTATAATTGCTCATGTGATTATGTTGGACTCGCCTGGATAATCCAGGATAATCTCCCACTCTAAGGTTCTTAATTTGATCCCACTTGCCAAGCCCATTTCAACACAACATATTCATAGGCTCCAGGGATTAGTACATGGCATTTGGTTGTGGTGATGGGGTTATTATTCAGCCTACCACAGTTAGTTAGCCTTTCCTCTAGTATTGTCCTTACAAAGCTGCAGTCTGAGCTATCCATGTGGCTTTTCAGTAGATAGTAGTGTATTTAGGCCAGAGGCTACTGAAGTTATTTGGAACTTCAGGAAGAACTATTAGGAAGTTTTAAGAACTTCAGAATAATGCCTATAATATTCCATCTCTGAATATGTGACAGAAGGAAATACTGGGCTCTCTTGCACTTTGTTTAGCCTTGCAATGCCTGCCTCTTACCTTTGCCATCTTCCTTTCCCCAAACATCTGACCTTATATTCCTATGAGTCTATGAGCTTCCTCTATTTCTCCCCCCTTTATTTTATGGCATTTGCAGGCCTTAGGTATCCAAATCTGCATCAATTGCACCTGGCTTCTGATTTAAGTCACCATCATTTAAGAGCTTTAAAAATACTAACCCAGGGCCTCCCCAGTGGCGCAGCGGTTGAGCGCTGGGTTGCGAAGCTGCCCGCGGCCTCTGCGGCGCCGGTTCGATCCCCGGCTGCTCCCCGGCCACTGGAGGAGGGTCCCACAAGGTGCGCAGACCTCTCCTGCCGCCCGCTGCTCCCCTCAGCAGTGTGCTTCAGTCCTTCTGCCTGCTCTGCTCTCCACTCTGGCTCTGGTGAATTCTCTCACCCTCCCGCGCTTCTGACTGTACCCAGTGCTTGTATAAACAAAACAAACAAATAAATAAATAAAAACAAAACAAACAAACAAAAAAATACACACACACACAAAAAAATTAAAAATACTAACCCACTTCATCTTCACAACACTCTTATTTAACTTATCTTACAGATTCAGAGAATGATGCACAGAGAGATTAAGTAAATTAATTAGTTTACTAATTATTCGGTGTCTGTATCTGAGTCTAAGCAATCTGACCCCAGGTGCATCTTTAAGCCACCTTGTTTTATGTGATTTATAAATTGTATCCTGGTGTGCAAGCCATTATTGGCATACACACACACACTCATACACATATATATTATACATTTATGTATATTATATATATATATAGTTGGAACAATTAGTATACATGTACTCATCCATTTAATCCTCATAAAAACACTAGATCAAGCAAATGATCAAAAAGGACATTGAAGTTCTGAACAACAAAGTTGACAACTTGAGTTAATGGACATATATAGAATCTTACACAAAGTATTTAGAGAAAACATATACATTTTAAGTACATAGTATAGTTACAAATATTAACGATAAATAAGTCTTAAAATGTTGAAAGTATCAGAATCATCAAGACCACATTCTATGATCACAGTATAATTAAATTGGAAATCAACCACAAAACTCAAACTCATATATTTGGGAGTTTTAGAGCAGATTTAGAACTCATAGATAGAAAAATAAAGCACATAAAAAACACAAAACTGAATATTAAGGAAAATACAACATTTCAAAGTTCATGACATGTAGCCAAAGTGGTAAAGAAAAAAATACATCATCCTAAATGTTTAAGAAAAGAGGAAAGATTGAAAATTAATTTAATCTAAGAAGCAAAGTACAATGAGGTAGAATCTATGAAAATAACAAGAGCAATAATAAGTAAACACATATAAATGCATAAAATAGAATAAATTCTCAATGAGGATTAGCTGACAATACCCAGACTCCCTGAGAATTAGCAAATGGAAAGATTTACCTTTTAAAAAGAGTAAGAAGAAAGGGTCCTCATCCATTACTTTCGTGTCTAGTTCTTTCCTAGTGCAGGTAAGCTCCTTAAACAGATTTTACAGAAAGAATTTGATACTTGCTCTTTAGAAGAGATTTATTTATTTTCATTGTATTTTTTTATTGACATAATGTTGACTTACAGCATGTGTGATTCAGAGGCACTGGTTCATGCCTCTTCAGATGTGAATCAGCACCACATCCACCACCATTCTCCTTGAGGATAGTCCACTGGGACTTCTCCACTTTGTTCCCATCTCTACCTTTCTCCTCTTATAGTCTTACCTCTGAAGTTAGGTTTCTAGGGTTTGTTTTAGTTTAGTTTTGTCTGTCCCTGATTTATTTCTCTATATGCTACCAACGAGCAAAACAAAATTCAGGTGACTGTGTTAATATTTAATTTACTGATAGGTAGATTGTACTGCATCTGATTGTGCTCATTGTTAGCCATGTTCCCAATTCTGCGGTGAAATCACTCAGCTGACATCTATTTGTGGTCCATTCAATGTGTGGTTCCATAATGAATTTAACAAGACAAAAATTGTCTGATTGTGTCTGACAAACTGGTCAGTGCCAGAAATTTGTTTACAAGAGGATTGAGGGGTATTTGAGGGAGTTGAAAAATTGAGGGTGCTAGATATGACAAGCCTATGAACTTGATAGCTCAAACAGATATTCATTATGTTAGTGTCCTTCCTTGTCCATTATTTTCCTAACTGCAAGGCCTGTGTTGCTGCATTCTTGGATTCCTAGTTCAGATTCTTAAGCGGAGTTTCACTTTAGAATACATTAGAGCCAGTAGGGTGAGAATAGGCTGTCTGTGTTTTGGCACCAATCCCAGTACTTTCAGTGGTTCCAGGCATAGGGGTGGAATGGTAACAGTATAGCTTATTTTCCAAGATGTTTACTTCAGCAAAGTCAGTGGACAGACAGGGCATTGTCTCTTAAAGGAGACTGTAGGCAGAGCAGGACCAAGGAAAGACATTATCCTTCCTAGACAACTTCTCAGCTTTGGAATAGAGTGGGTATCACAGAATCTGTGGACAATGTCCATGAAGGAGAGAGATGGGGAAGTGTCAGAAGTATCACAGTCCTGTAGACTTGTGATGGAGACATGTGTTCAGCAGAAAACAGAAGGACCTGGCATGAATATCCAACATTGAGTGTCTACTATGCCCACTTGTGCTACATCTTCTGGATGATGTGAAAATATAAGACATGACTGCTGTCCTCAGGACATGGTAAGTATAGTAGATAGTTTTACTTAAATTAAAAAAATAAATATGACTTATGGTAATTCCCCATATCATAGTTATCAACTGGCAGGTGGTCACTTTTTCTAACCCATTGAGCATGCCCTCATGTGCTCACTTATTTCAAGGTTACTACTTGTATCTCACTACCCTCATTACTAGGAATGAGAAATTAAGGACAACAGCTCATATTTTATAAATTTATATTGAACGTTTTTTGGCTTGTCTAGCTTTGTTCTTCATTGTACATTGCTTGAAATGTGATTCTGTGACTCAAGGTTGGAAAAATGTATTATAAATATTGGAAAAATAAAAAATAGCAAAAATGAGGTTTTTATAAGTCTTTTAATTATGAAACATAATAAAGAAAACTTGGAAAATATCAAAAGGCAAGAAGTGTCACCTATAACCAAAATCAACCACAGATGACTAAATCTCTTCCAGATTTAGTTTTATGTTAAGTTTAGAGTATTCGATGTTTTGTTTGTTTTAGGTAGTTACTCATTAAACATAATTTTAAATATGCAGTTTCACATAGCAGTATTCATAATTTTTAAACTATCATTTGTAATGACTACATAACATCATTTGTAACAACTGCGTAGTATGACTAATATACCATACTTCATTTAATCCTTCTCCTAACATTAGGCTTTTTGGGTATTTCTAATTTGCCAGAATATTACATAATGCTGCCATATGTACATTTGCATAAAGTTTTATCTTATATTCTTATTTTTCATAATATATTTTATTAGAAATGGATTTGTTTGATCAAAGGGTACAAACATTTCTAAAGATATTGACACACATTGCTTAGAAAAAATTCTAAATTGAAGAGTGGCATCTGCAATGAAGACTGCAAACTTCACAAACAGCAAAATAAATACCACATGGAGAAAACATCATCATTTGAATATTGTCCTCAAGTAGATATGATAGTCATTTCTTCATCATGAAAAACTTTCTTGATCTTATTCAAATGACTCCAGGCTATAAGAAAAGGAAAAACAGTAAAGTAGTGATTTTTTTTTCATTTAATCCATAATCCAGGTAACAACCTTAATTTAGAGTTCATATTTAAAACATGCTGGAATAGAAAAATATCTATTTAAAACTACTAGGAAAGGCATATATTATATGTTTTTAGATAGATACAAGCTACTACATTCATGATTTCTCTTCATTCTGTATTTGCTGGATAGGATAGCAGTTTCAAACATAACCAAATTAACATTAGTATTTTAGCAAGTGAAGCAAACACAGTTATGACAAAATAAAGACATATTTCTTCTCAAAACCATTCACTAATGACTCAGTATAAAGAAAGATTATTACTTGAATGCGGCAGCATTCAAAAGAGAGAATATGTCAATGGAAGGCTGTGAGTCTACATTTATCTTATGAAAGGGTAATTCTCAATAAATGTTAAGATTTTTTTGTGTTTTGGTTTTTTTTTCCTTAGAATACTGAAACGGTGTTTATTCAAAACACATGTGCTGTTTTCACCATTTAACATGGAAGGCAGATTTTACAATTATTTCATTGATTTAATCCATATGGACAAGCCAACAGACACATTGGAATATCAGAAAAAAATTGAGATATTAGAGCTTCAGAAAAGATGAAGGCAATAGGGATGGAAAGAACATGATGGAAATCTTTTTAAAAGACTCACTGAATCTTGAGCAGTGAGGAAGTACAGGCACTAGTGGGGGACTGTTACCTGAATGATGACTGAATAGGTTCCACACAGTATCTTGATTAACTGAATAATTAATCTGATGAGGCAAACAATCACTTGAAGCCCACTGAGAGTTATGAGGATGGAAAATAAAATGATGTTCCATTCTACTACATGTGCAGGTTCCAGACACTGAGCCCATGTGCTGGAATCTGTAAGGAAACTAGAAAAGAAAGGAAATGGTCAACAAAACCCATGGCCAAGCCTAGGTATTTGGCTCAAGGAACAAGGTTACAGGTATTTATATGTTTGGGAAATTAACATATGATTAAAATACATACCATTATTAAATATGAATTAGTATTTTTAAAAATTCATTCGGATACATATGTTGAGTACATAGTGTGTATAGAACTAAGCTATATTTATTATAAACATGGTGACTGCCTCAGAGCAATTATTTAATTATAGGAGGTAAGGTATATAATGAAGACTCAATAGCAATGAAAGATAGCACATGGCAATACCAAGAGGTAAAGATTACCTCTTAATCTAAGAATCCAGAAGTTAAGGGTTGAGTTTATATAAAATCACATACTTGGCAAAATAGTAAAGACAAATGATACTATAAATTCCTAGACTCTGTCCCAAATTCCTTTAGAACAACAGTTCTCAAAGTTGAGCATAATTCAGAGTTATCTGGGAGGTTTGTGAAACTGCAGTTGACTGGGACCTTCCCAGGATAGCTGACCCTGAAGTTCTGAATGTTCCTCAAGACTGCATTTCAAAATTCCCAGGTGATGTTGCTGCTGCTGGGCTAAGGTCCACAGTGTAAGAAAATCTGCTTGGGAACATTGCTGTTCTGTAGCTATTTAAGAAGATTTAGATTATGAGGTGGGAATGCAAACAAATTGAAAGATTTGAGCTGTTTAATTTGGCATAGGATTATGAAATTTAAACCATTCCCAAGATAATCTTAAAAACTATACTGAATTTACCTAACCGATTTGTGTTCACATCCATGCCATTACTTGCACACTAGGCTGTTCAATTAAACAGTTGCTCTGTTCAACTAAATCAAAATGGTAAATTGGTCTCCCCTAAAATGTCCCCAAACAGAGCTACTCACATCATGGAGGAATAGAGAGGTTGGGATCACCTTCTTCCCTAACAAACAACTATAAAAAATAATTACTCAAGTTCTCTGACAGCATCCCAGGACTTTTCCATGAGGGACTTAAACTAAGGTTGGTGACTTACTACAGGGGAGGAGAGAGACAAGGCAAAGGGGAGTATGGGCAAGAAAATAAGTACCCTGGGTGGTAGAACTGGTCCTAGACAAACAGGGCCAGCTTGGACACTTTTAATTTCACTGGAGAGACTTCAGAAAGGCAATGCAGTTATACATGGGCACGGGTCCAGCCTAGGTCATGGGGGTTCCATGCCAGTGTCATCAAGGAAACCTCCCCAACCCCTGTCTGGAGGTAAGAAAACAGAGTCTTCAAATGGAGCCTTACTTGGACGGATTATGAGCCCAATAGCTGAGGGAAGGACTAGTGAGAAATCTCATTCCCTTGAAAAGAATAAAGTGGGCACTCAGTACTCGTAGCCCATGTCCCTCAGGTGGAAGAATGGCAGTGGTGTCATAGTGGCAGCCATTGCCTCCAGCCATTGCTGGGCAAGAAGAAACAGCTTTCTCGTGTGTCCCCAAACTGAGTCCCAGCACTTCAGCCCTGTGGATCATTCCTAGCCCCCGCCCCCTTGCCAGGAGACAAAAGTTTGGTGGAACATGACAAGTGGCAGGATGGTGCAGCAGGGAGCCAGGGAGGGAAGTGAAGACAACTGTAGCACTGAATAGAGCTCGCCCTGGAGAGGTGAAGAGAGAAGGCAGAGGTGACCACCCTCACGCCTCAGAAAGATTGAGGCTAAATATTTAAGCCCAAGCCTCCTCTTCTGCCCTCACCTCACACCAAGGTAAACAAAGAAGAGAAACAGAACTAATTTGCAGTCCCAAACAAAAAGCAAATAAGGCAATACACTTGCCTCAGAAGCAAGGGACATTTGAACATAAGATTGAAAAGAAAAGAGAGAAGAACAGAAATTTTGGGAAATATATAAAGGGCACAGAAATAGAGGACATATCAGACAAAGACTATATAAAACAATGATATTATAAATGCTAAATTGGGTACTGGAAGGTCAGTCAGAGACAGATAGGCAGGTGCAAAATATTAAAAGGAGAGGTAGGAACACAGAGTTCCTCACTACGAAATGCCCAGCGATCTGGGAAATTAGAGAGGAGGGATAACAGTAGTGTCACAAACAAAAACCAGCCACCCTCCCATCATTTAAAATACACATTTAAAATAGCAGCTGGACCCCTCCTTTCTTATCACCCCACCCCATTGACACAGCAACAGAAAATGTAGGCACCAGGACCTATGGAAGCCAGCGGAGTCCAAATAAAATAATAAAATAGTAAAATAAATCCACAGTTCTGCAAACTGGAAAAGCAAAAGAGGTTCAACTCTCTAGATAGTGACCCATATATTTAAAAGAACCCAAAACAGAGAAATTTAAAATAGCAAAATATGTATACCAAAACAAATGTAGCACTTGGCAACTTGAGACCACAAGGGATTATCATATTACAAGGAGAGAACAATTCTCCAGAATCCAACCTCAAAGATATGGAAGACTTTATCTCCCTATCAGGTAGAGAGTTCAAAATGGCTATAACAAATAAACTCAAAGAGATGGAAGAAAACTCAGAAAAGCATGTCAAAGTGAATACAAGATACCTCAGTAATGAAAGAAATATGACAAAACTTAGAAAAACTTTGAACACAAAAATGAAATTAATTAACAGAAGGTAAAAAAAAATGAAGCTTTAATAAGAAAAGAACAGAGACTCAGGATGTGAAGAATTTAATAAATGAGATCAAGAATGCCAGAGAAATTTATGATAGCAGAATAGACCAAATGGAGGAATAAATCAGGTCAAAGATAGTGACATACAAATGATACAGTTCAAAGAAGAGAGAGAAATAAGCTGTAAAAGGAAATTCTATGGGGACAATACCTGAAAGGTGAGGGGGGAACAAATATTGTTTAAAAATGAACAATGATGTAAAAAATAAAAAAAATATTAAAAAAAGAACAATGATGTAAAATATATAAAAAATTTAAAAAATAAAAATAAGAATAAAAAAGCTATAAATAGAAACATTATGAAAACAATTCAGTTCCATTAGGAAAGGCAACATAAGGATAAAGGATATCCCTGAAGTGGGGAACAGAGAACATATCCAGAGAAATAACAATGGAAAACTTTCCAAACCTGGGAAAAGAAGTGAATATATAAGATCTATTAAAAGATCTCTATATAAGAAGATCTATAAGATCTATACATAAAATCTATAAGAACTATATAATATATATAGTTAAGAGCTAACACTTGAATATCAAAATGAAAAGAGGCCTACACCAAGACAAATAGTATAAAACAACTAACACCATCCACAAAAAGTAGTTAGATATGAATTAAATATTTGAATGTAAGACCTGAAACCAAAATATATATAAAAATTATAGACAGTATGCTTTTTGACATCAGCTTTACAGGTGTGTTTGGGGGCTCAACTCCAACAGCAAGGGAAACAAAAGCAAAAATAAACAAATAGGATTATATGAAACTAGGATGCTTTTGTAATACAAAAGAAACATATATTAAAACAGATAGCTTACTGAAGATTATTTGTATAATATTCAACCGACTAGGTGTTGATCTCCAAAATATACCAAGAACTGATACATGGATTTTAAAAAGATGTATATATTTTTTAAAAGATGTATTTATTTATACAAAGTTTATTTATTTATACAGGCCAGATGTGCAGGAGGGTGAGAGGATTCACCAGAAACAGAGCCGGGAACAGAACAGGCAGATGGACCAAAAGCACTGCTGAGGGGATCTGCTTGCCATGTGGGACTCTCCATGGCCTTCCGGGGATCGAACTGGCACTGCAGAGGCTGTGGATAGCTTCACAGTGCTGTGCTCAACTGCCTGTGCCACCGGGGAGGCCCAAAAAGATGTATATTTACATAATAGAATACTATTCAGGCATAAAAAAGATTAAATCTTGTTATTTGCAATGTGGATGGACCTAGAATGATTATGCTAGTGAAATGAGTCAATGGATAAAGACAAATACCATAGTATTTCACTCATTCATGGTATATCAGAAAAAAAAAAGAGATGAACTTAAAAATAAATTTTTAGGCTATAAAAAACAAAGAAATTGTAACTTTCCTAGGGAATGTACAGATACTCTCCCATTTTATTCCATTAGATTTCTTATCACAGTGCAAGAAAGATTCAGTGAACCTTTCCACTATATCTACTGGACCCTGCCATCTCCTGAGCTGCTTCTGCAGGTGCTGGTAGTCAATATGCCCAGCACAATGCCAGTGTGAAGCATTCTGATTTCTAGAATTGGGTCCCCCAACATTTCTGAACCACCCTTCTATTGAAGAAGGCTACCTTCTTACAATATTCTTCAGTACATGCTAGATAAGGTTATGGTAACTTCTACAAACTATTGTTCCTTGCCATGTCCCTGGATCTCAGGCTGTACTGGGCTGCTCCCTTCACCTGCTTCTATCAATATGTAGCCACTGATGTGATATATATCTGTGATTCTCTCTCAACAAAGCCTTTTCATACCTGTGATTCTCTCTCAGCCAAGCCTTTTTGTATCTTTAACAGATCACAGCTCTAACTTAGCCATAAAGCAAGACTGAATTGCTAGAATCAAGACCCAGGTCCAAAGTTGTCAGAACACAATAACCACAAATTCCTATTTTGAAGTGCAAAGAAAATTTTCTTTCATTTGGATATCTTCATGGCAGTTTCAAAATAGTAAATGTACATTGCATTAAAAGAATGGAGGAAAACATCTGAATTGTTTAGATGTGGAGGATCTGCATAAGGACAAATTGGTTTGGATTTTAGTAAACTAATAGGGATATTCTTTACTAAAGTACCCACACAAAATCCAAAAGTGATCATGGAAAATGAGTATCAGCCTGAGACCAGGTGTTTCTGACTTTCAAACCTTGATTTGGGAAATTATTCCTTACCGTCCTGCAGTGTCTTCAAAGGCATACTCCCAGCCATTGAGGGTACGGCAATATGGCCCCTGAACAAGGCCCAGCACAGATATGACCAAGCAATATCCAGAGAAGGCGATTCCAAGGGCAGAAAAAATAATTGACAGTAGTGTCTAAATTAAACATAGAAGAAAGGTTAGTACCATAGGATGAGATAAATAGATATCGCAGGTAAATGATCTGATAGGTACTTTCCCCTACTCATCCAAGTTTATTGCAATCTATGTATTACAAAATGTTCACATAAAAACAAATACTTAATCCATATTTACTTGATATTAAAAGTGAATTTTATTTTTTTAAAGTTATTTATTTTATACAAGAGCCAGGGTACAGGCCAGATGCGCAGGAGGGTGAGAGGATTCACGAGAGCCAGAGCAGGGAATAGAACAGGCAGACTGATGAAATACACTGCTGAGGGGAGCAGCGGGTGAGACAGGAGAGGTCTGGCGACCATGTGGGTTGCTCCGAAGCCGGTGGGCATAGAAACAGCACTCCAGAGACTGTGGACGGCTGCATAGCACGGCGCTCAATTGCCTGCGCCACCAGGGGGGGCCCTAAAAGTGAGTTTTAAATGATGGTTTTATTTGTCTTTCCATGAGAAAATACTTAATTTACTAAATTTCTTTCCTTGTTTTCAGTAATTTTTATATTAAAATATAGGTCACTTCATAAACACAGTGAAGGGCTATGATCAATTAACTTATTTATTGAAGACATGGTATTTTTCACAAACTATGAGTTGTTTTTTTTTTTTAAAGAATCACAAGCTGTGAGTTCTGTTTTTCTCTTATGAAGATGATATTTGAATATTGTCACATACAGGCATATGAGGGCAAGTATCAGGTGTCATGTATAGTCAAAGAAGGATGGGATTGATCGGAAGGGGATGTTTGCATTTGAATAGAGACAGTGAGCAATGCTCATTAGCACATCAGTATAAGCAGAATTGTGAAAGTATGTAGATTGGTCTGATTTAAGAGGAGATTCCTGCTGAGGAGTAGAGGGGAAAGTTTCTGAAGGCCAAATTAATATGGTATGGGGGAAACAGGGTTGGTAGGGTTGATAGCATACAATCTACCTCTTGATGGCCTTTAAAGCTGCATAAGGGGAACAGTTTTTAACCTTCAGGGAAAGGCTCTACCACCTACACTCTTTTATTAAGAAAATTTCAAATGTCAAAAAAGTTGAAAGTATAGCACAATGAACTACTGTACACCCTTTACCTAGACATGTCTTCTGATATTTTACAATTTTTGCTTGCTCTTTCTTTTTCCCTTTCACTCTATATGCAGATGTATATATGCATATGTCTTCATTTACACACTTTTGTAGCCAAACCACTTAAAAGTAGTTTGCAGATATTGTGATATTTCATCCCTAAAAACAATACTTACTGTCTTAGAATAAACACATTCTATTATTATCCAACTATTTTTTAATTTTTCATACAGAATCCAGTGAAAGTTTAGACACAGGTATATATATATCTTTAGTCTCCTCTAATCTATACTTGTCTTGTTGCTTTTCTATTTTCAGAATATTGAATTATTTTTGAAGACTCTCAGCCACTTGTCTGTAGAATATTCCACATTTGGGGTTTCCCTAATTGTTTCCTCACTACGGGACTTGGGTTAAACATTTTGGCATGAACATTTGATTGGTGGGGATACATCATAGGGCTCTCATTGGTATATGTGATGCTACACTTGCTCTCTTGGTTAAGGTGGTATCCTTCATAACATACATTCTCCATTTTACAATTTGCAAATTTTTTGAAGGGTGATATTTTAAAATGGACATACCCTATTATGTGAAGACATTTCAACCGAGGGATTTGGCGCCCACTCATGATTCTCATGTCTTTTCAAGAGCTATTGTCAATAGTTGCTTGCCATGTGCTAGTTTTAAAGTGCTATGATTTTAGTAACATTGATGTTATCATTTTTCTGCACAGAACCTCCATTTCTAATGCATGTCTCCTCCGCTTCTCTCTGTATTATTGTAGACTCACAGATTTTTCGAACTCAATGTGTTAAAATTCATAACAGTTACTATTATTTAGAAGCTCAGCTGGTTCAAATATGGCCAGTAATAATCTTCCTCCAGGTCAGTTCATGAGCTTTTTTTGACATATTTCTGTTATCATTTGAATACTTATTTGCTTCCTGGCATAAGATATCTTAAACTCATTTGTATATATGCTGCCATAGATCTGGAGTTGTTCTTTTTTCCAAGAAACCATGAATTGGTTTTTGAAAAAGTACAAAATGTGAAGCAATATATGATGTTTTGGAAGATTGCTCTGGCAAAAGAGAAACCCCCAAATAAGAATACCATGTGGAGTCTACTTCAAGTTGACATGACAAAGCTATTCGTTGGAGGAAAAGACAGTGAGGAAATGAATACCTGGAGATGGACTGAAAAAAAAATCTGGATTTAGAGATTTGGAATAAAAAGAAACAGGAATATGTAGTTTGGTTTGGGAAAAATTTTATTTTAGTTTTATAATTGTTGATTTTAAGTGAGAGTAGAACAGCCAAACAGAAACATGTAGCCTACTGAGAATTTCAGAGGCTGAACTGAAAAAAGCAAAACAAATTTGTGATTTAAGGGCAAAATTTATTTCAAATTATACTTTGCTTAAAATTATTTTACTGGGTATAATATTACTACATACTCATTATGAAAAATCAGAAAATTTTTTTTTAGATTTATTTATTTATTTGTTTGTTTGTTTGTTTGTTTGTTTGTTTATACAAGCACTGGGTACAGCCAGAAGCGCGGGAGGGTGAGAGAATTCACCAGAGCCAGAGTGGGGAGCAGAATAGGCAGACTGAAGGAGTACACTGCTGAGGGGAGCTGCGGGCGGCAGGAGAGGTCTACGTTGCATGTGGGACACTTGCCTGGCAGCCGGGGATCAAACCAGAGCTGCAGAGGCTGCGGGCAGTTTTGCAACCCAGTGCTCAACCGCTGCGCCACCGGGGAGGCCCCAGAAAAAAATATTTTAAAAGCACAAAGAAGAGGAAAGCAATGCTATTAACATGGCAAAATAAGCAATCACCATCAAACTTCCTCTTTAAACCACAACCAGAGAATCCTTAAAATGCAAATGTAATTCTACTCATCATGTTCATCATTTCAGTGACCCATACATGTTTATATATCTGAAGGTTAGTAGATTGGGGCTTGTCAAGGTGTTAGAGCTGGGACAAGAATGATAGGAGAATCACTAACTCTGTCTGAAGACAAGAAGGTATAGCACAGAGACAATGTGAAAGCCTATGTCTCGCCCCTCAGTGAACTCAAAAGCAAAGAAAAAAGGATATACTCAAAGATCCAGCAATGTTGACTGCCCAGATAGAAAAGCCCACATCCAACAGGATTAGAAATTACAGCAACACTATATGGCAGAAAGAGAACAAAAAAAGTCAGAAAACAAATTTAAGACAGTGAATTTTGTGATCTAATGGGCAAAGAATTCAAATTAGTTACCATGAAGAAATTAAAAAAACTACATGAAACACAAAAAACAAACAACTTAGAAAGGAAATTAATTATCACAAGGATTTCTTCATCGAAGAGATTGAATGCATTAAAAAATATTCTGGATATGAAGAATTCAACAAATGAAGACTACAATGAAAAGCATAGAAAGCAATATAGTTTTTTTATAGAGAAAATAACTCGTGGAATTTAAGATAGAAATAGAGAAATGACTCAAGTGGAAAAGATGAGATAAATATGTTTTAGGAAAAATGAAGAAACTCTCAGAAATAATAGACTATATTAGGAATGGAAATATAAGGATAATGGGTATCCCAGAAATTAAAGTGAGGGAGAAGGGAACAAAAACTTATTTAAAGAGAAAGTAGCCAAGAATATCCCAAGCCTAAGGAAAGAACTAATTATATAAGTCCATTAGGTCAAGAGAACATCTATCTATCTGACTACAAAATACCTACACAAGGCTTATCATTGTAAAATTATCAAAAGTTAATAAGGAAAAATATTAAAGGCTGCCATAGGAAAAAAATTATGTGCTATACAGTCACCGCCACCAGGCTATCATTAGATTTCTCAGCAAAAACTGTATAGGCCAAGAAAGAGTGGAACAATATATTCAAAATACCAAAAGATAAAAACTACCAACTAAGAACACTCTAATCATCATTATTACTCAAACATGATAGAGATACAGACATTGCCAGACAAACCAAATCTGATAGAGTTCATCACACCAGATGTGTGTCACAAGAAATGTTGAAAGGAGTTTTTCTATATGCAAAGAAAAGAAGTACACAAAACCTTTAGTAAGTTGCTAAATAGAATCAGAAGTTTGTAACTATATCTGGAATAAGGTGCAAAATATTTAAGTACAGCAGAAAAATTAAAGGGAAATAAACATTTAAAACAGCTACAGCTGCTCTAATTTGACAGGATAAAAAGGAATAACATGAGACAACAAAATGCATTAAAGATGAGGAAGAAAATGACAGAATCTGTATAGGTAAATGAGGAATGATGCTGGGGAAAACTAGATAGTCTTATGTGAAAGAATAAAACCAGACCATTTTACTAGATCACGTTAAAATTTCATAAATTCAACAATAAGAAAACAAATAACCTTTTTTTTTAAAAAAAAAAAAAAGCAGAGGACCACAGATGATCTAGAAGCCAATGAAAAATGCTCATCATCATTTATTATTAAAAAAAATTCAAATCAAAACTAACAATGAGATATTATCTCATACTGTGGGAATGCCTCACATCAAAAATACAAGGAAGTGTTGTGAGGATGTGAAGATAAAGGAAACTTTGTACACTGTAGGTAGATATGTAAATTGGTGCAACTACCATGGAAAGCAGTATGGGGGTTCTTTGAAAATTTAAATACCATGATCCAGTAATTTCACTTACAGGTATCTATCTGAAGAAAATAAAAACAGTAATTTGAAAGCTATATGCAACATTATGTTCATTGCAGCACTATATAATTAGCCAGGATATGGAAACTACCCAAGTCCCATAGAATACTAATTCTCCATGAAAGAAATACGACATCTTGTCACTTGTAACAACATGTATTGACTTTGAAAGGATGGATTAAGGA